CATAACATCAATAATTTTTTCTTCTCTTACAACCACACATTTCCCATCATATCACTATTCAAAATCAATTCTTCCCTCAAAAATCTATCCCAAACTTGGTTTAATGCTAAACGTTCCCTTTCTTAATAAATTATTAAGATAAGATGGTGGTTGATTTAATGCTTTTTCTTCCTTATCCAATTATTCTAATAAATTTTAGAAGGAAAAGAAAACTAAGATGGTATTTCATTTTCTGGTTGTTAGCACCATGGTTTGAATGAAATCATTTAAATTTCCCATCGACCATGAAAAAATCAAGAATAATGTCATTTATTGTGAAAATTATCGGTAGTCGTCATACACATAACAACTTGTTATTTGATTAATGAATCAAATAATAAGCTGTTATGTGTATGCCACGTAGAACGACTATAGGTATTCTTCACTATTACTCAAAATTCAAAAATCAATCAAAATATTTCCTAAAATTTTTAGATATGTGAAAAGTTAATTATCCATTTGGAAAGGATTTTATCATGAAAACAGTATTAATGATGAATATTACGAGGATGAAGGCAATTGACTTGAAAAGTCTCAAACAATTGGTAGTGGTGGTACCCATCACGAGTCATTTTCTTGTCCATCGTCACGTCACATGGCCAAATTCTCATGAAAATAGACATCTCACCAAATAAAGTGACCTCAGAAATAATTTTAATTTAGAATATAAGATTAAAAAAATTAGTTTGAAACAAAAGGAGGCGCACTTTAAGGTAAGAGCTGAAAATATTTGACCTATGAAAAATGAAGAGTCAAAGTAATATTAACGTTGTTGTTGTATTTTGACCATGAGAAAATGGATCATTATCACTTTCAATCTTACCCATTTAGCCACCATAAACATCTACGACCACTATACATTTCTTATAATTGTGTTTCACGTTATCAATTTAAGAGACGTGATTGTAAGAATTAACTCTTCACCCTATCAAACTGAGGGTTGATTTTGTGAATTTATAACTATTTTAAGCAATAATTAATTCTTATGTTTTATTTTATTGTGTATATTAATCTTCAACCATGCTACAAGTACAATTTTTTTGACATCAAGTTTAACAATGTGCTGCAACATATTGAAGGTTTAGTGAACAGTTTTTAAACGCCACACACTTTACCGTCCATTCGAATTTGAATTAACATGGATAGACAAATTCCTTGTCAACAAAGGNAACCATGGATTGTACACAAAACATTATTCATTAATCTTTATTCTCTGGATAACTTTTCATGAACCCATCAAAACGGAGATATTAAGTCGCCTGTACATGCAACTGAAGTCGACCGCAGAAGAAATAGAGTGCACATTTTGTATGTTCAGTTCGATCCAATCAAATGCCAAACGTAAAATCAAACCTTTTTCTTTGTATAGTAATGAAATCAAACTAGACAGCATCCGGTCGAGAGTTGTGAGGCCCAATTGTATATCATGGCTTTCCCGCAAATTATTGCCCTCTCCGAATAACGAACCAAAACTAGAATACGAAATAAAATAGTTTAAAAATTAATCTCTCTCTCTCTCTCACACACACACTCACTCACCGCCCACGGCACCTTCTCTGATGGCTCCTTCTCACTTTTTCTTCATATCATATTCAAACATTATTTTTCTTTTGATTTTCAGCAAGATAAATTAAACAGTTCAATTTGCTCAAGTAAGATTTATCGCCATTTGCCACCTTACCACCCACATATTAAATTATTTGTTAGTTGAAAGTAGGTATGCGATGCATTTTCAAATTTTATATGTTTTGGTGACTTTGAATGATATGAATTATTCACAAATTTTAGGTAGGTTTTTGTTGTCGGATCCTCTTTATGTTTTAGCAAATTCAACGTGTATCCATAGATATCGTATCTATCGATTCTGCTTTAGTTTTATATTCATTGGCGGGAACGAGAGTTTTCTATTTAGAGAAACGCTTTAGAACTGGATATTTGGATTTACTTATTGTTTTCGAATAATTAAATTCATACATTTTATTGTCGGCTGGAGTATGTTGCATTTGAAGTGGGAAGTAACTATTCAATATTTTTGGTACAGATTGTGATCATATCGAGAATTGAAAAAGTACGTGCAAAATTCCTGCAAATGCAAGTAAGAGGAACCCTGTGGAAGGTGAAATTATCAAATTATTGGTCATCAATTTACTAAGGGGAAAAATGACTGTGGAGAGGCTTCGGAAAATTGTGGTGGTGGGAATACAATTCGATGGCCATTCTAAAGAGTTAATGGATTGGGCTGTTATGAAAGTAGCTGATCCTGGAGATTGCGTGATTGCCATTCATGTTTGTAGGAGTTCTGGTACTGGCATGGGCATTTGTAAATTGCTTCTAATTCTAAATTACTTGTACCTATTGAGTTCTTACCTAATTTTTCATCTTACAGACTCCGTCCTGAGAGAGAAAACTTTGTTGGATGATTATTTGGAAGACTATAAAGGGATGTGTAACCAAAAACAGGTTGGTTTCTCTTGGTTTTTCTTTTTTAGCGTTTGGTCACTTTCCAAGGGTAAAGCCAATACTCTATCAACTTCTTATTTCCTTTTGTCAATTTTTTGGTGGGCTTGAGGCTGTTCAGGTTGCTATCAGGGCGGAGGTCTTGAAAGGAAATTCTACCAGAAAAGTTCTGGTGAGAGAAGCAAAGAACCATTCTGCATCAGTTGTTATAGTGGGGATAACTAAGTTTAGTTCTCTCGGGTACGTAGAAAAAGGATAATGGTATTTGGCTATTTGCATTAATTTGTATTCCTGTAATCTTTTTATTGGAGTCTTGAATGATGCTTTTCTCAGGGGTTGGTCTTCAATTGCTAAATATTGTGCAAGGCGACTTCCTTTGACGACTGAAGTCATGGCAATTCACAATGGAAATGTTGTGTTCAGTAGGAGTTCCAAAAACCAACCAGAAGGTTCGGACTCTTGTTGATATAAATGAGAAAATATTTCATTGACGATTCAATATATACTGAATTTGTCTTGATGATTCCAGGTCCTGGAAAAGATCCAAACCTGAGTTTTTATTTAACTGGAAACGTCAATTTCAAAGATACTCAGTCAGAATTTGGTGAATCTGAGATATCAGAGATGGGAAGGCTCAGTTATGATGGGATTCTGACCTCCGAAGCTGAAGCTTTTAGCCCTGTTGGAAGACACAAAAAAGGTTCTCTTAATTCAATTTCTCTTCCTGCAGAGGATTTTACGCAGCAGAGGCCAGGTTGGCCGCTTCTCCAAACAGCTAGTTCTATAACTCAACCAAGTCTAGAAGCAAGAAAAATGTCGGTTGTGAAATGGGTAATGAGCTTACCTAGTCGATCTTCGCTAGAAGTTTCTGAATTAAAGACCGTCCTGGGTAACACTGGGGATGTTTTGGGAGGAGAATACGGAAACTTTACAGCCTATGATACAGTAGACAAAGTATCTAGTCTCAAAGGGCTGCCTCAAGAGTTGGAGCTGATACTCAAAACAAATCCACATACCTGCAAATGGTTCATCTACGATGTGCTTAGAATATCAGCTTCTCAATTCTCTGCAGGTTAGATTGTGTTAAGCAAAGCTTCTGTCTCTTTCTTAATTTCGTTTTTTGTTTCTCTTTCTGAAAGTTTAAACTTCCGTCCATTTAATTGTTGCAGCCAATCTTATTGGACAAGGAGGGTGTAACTCTGTATACAAGGGGATTCTTCCTGATGGCAAACCAGTGGCAATAAAAATTTTGAGGTCAACGAAGGAAGCATGGAAGGATTTTATGCTGGAAGTCGATATAATGACCACATTGAAGCACAAAAGAATCGCTCATCTGCTTGGGATTTGTGTAGATCATACTAATTTAATCTCTGTTTATGACTTTTTGTCTAATGGAAATTTAGAAGAGAACTTGCACGGTAAGTTTAAGGAGGGTTTATCTTTTTCTCTTAATAATTCTCTAAACATTCACTACCTAATATGATTTCCAAAGCAGGTAAGAGAAAGGAAAAGTCTGTTTTGCAATGGGAAGTAAGATTCAAAATAGCTGTTGGGATTGCTGAAGCACTTAATTACCTACACAGTGAATGTCCAAGGCCTGTAATACATAGAGATGTCAAATCTTCGAACATTCTTCTCAGCGATGATTTAGAACCACAGGTAGTTGATCAGATTCATATCCCTAGTAATCACAAATCAACATTCAGACCTTTTGAAATAACGGTTTTGTTTCTTGAACAGTTATGTGATTTTGGATTGGCAATATGGGGGCCTACATCAGCCTCTTTCCTGAGTGACAGAGATGTAGTAGGAACCTTTGGCTATCTCGCTCCTGAGTATTTTATGTACGGGAAAGTCAGTGACAAGATTGATGTATATGCTTTTGGTGTAGTTCTACTAGAATTGCTATCCGGAAGAAAACCAATAGGTTTGGAGACTCCAAAAGGTCAAGAAAGCTTAGTTATGTGGGTGAGAATCTATTTGCAGAATAAAACATTCATTTTTCCATTAGTTCTGTATGGAATACATAAAATAACTTCTGTATCCAGGCAAAACCAAGACTAGAAACTGGAGATCTAAAAAGCATATTGGATCCAAATTTGGAAGATGATATTAATGAGGATCAAATGCAAAGAATGCTTCTAGCAGCTACCCTCTGTCTAAAACAAGCAGCCCGTCTTCGTCCCAAAATGTCCCAGGTACGAAATTCATTCTTCCAAATCTGACCTTTATGCCTTATGTTTGTATTAGGTCACCCTTGTTTCCTATATTATGAATAGGAATCTGAGGGGCCGTATTTTTTGTAACCAAGAAACAGAGAACAAACATAGCTCACACGTTTAGGGTGAACTACTTAAAATCTCGGATTTCTATGTGCACGTTTCTATTTTTTATTTCTTTCACTATTGCTTTCGGAATTGAGATTAGGGCTTATTTCTTGACAATTGTGATTTAAGAGTGTTGCATTTTTATGTCTATATTTCAGATACTAGGTATACTATCCGGGGAAAAATGCATGAATGAAGAAGTAAAACCCCAATACGGTGATCACAATGACCCTGAAAACCTGGATGATAATGATGATGAAGTTTATCCAGATTCAAGTGCAGAATCCCATTTAAGCCTTGCATTTCTTGATGTAAACGATAATTCTATATCATTCAGCAGTATGGAGCAAAGCAGCCCTCTCTCTGTTGAAGAATATTTAAGGATAAGATGGAGCAGATCATCGAGTTTAGAGTAGTTTCTGTGAAGTGTGTAAATTGTATAGTTGAGAAAATGGGTAGCCTGCACCCAATAATGAGGTGATGATTGAAGGAATTTTTGTGCTTGTGTCTTTGAAGAATGACATGGACATAAGCTAAATATTGAAAGGAACCGAAAATTGAAAAAGAAAAAATAAAATAAAATAAAATTGGAGGGTCTTCAATATTCTTCAGTTGTATTAATCAACAAGCCATTATGGACGTGCCACAAATGTAATAATTTTCATTTAATGAGAGGTTTTCTATTTGGGAATCAATTTTTGAGGACTTTGGTGAGAAGGTTTTCCATTTTGGGGGTTTTCTTGATATGGATTGAAAGCGTAAAATTTTAAATAATTACTTTTTTGATATCAGAGAGAAAAAATGTAATAATTTTCATAATTTTTATATTTTAAATAATTAAATTTTCAGAAACAAGAAACTCGAGAAAATTTAAAAATAGGATTTTTCAGACCACAAAATCAAATACAATGCACAGTCCAATTTTCCCCGTATTACTACATTTGGCGAAGGTTATAATGGTTTATTGAAAGATCGACAATTTTCATCACTTGTTATTCAATTTCAAAATGATTCACAATTTATAAGCACCGCTACCATACAAGGTATTATTGATTAGAATTAGGGAAAATTTCATGACTAAGAGGTTAAGTTTCACCCATTTCAAATTTAAGAAATATGGTTTAAAATTTTAAATTTCAGATTTTTTAAAGTTTAAAATTTCAAATCTCATATATTTTTTTAAAATTTTATTTATGAATTAATTAATTAAGCATATATTTTATTAATTAAATATATTAATGTCACAATTCCATATAATTTGATTACAAATTTTATATAATTGGTCATATATTATTAATTTGTCACAACTCACAAATTTTACATATCACAAATTATTTTACGATCATAATTCAAAAAATTTTTAGGTCTCAACTTGTTCATCAGTTACAAATAAAAAATTGAAACGTTACAAATTATTTTTACGGCCACAATTCAAAAAATTTATACGTCACAATTTGTTCATAGGTCACAAATCAGAAATTTTATAAGTCATAAATTATTTTACGGTTACAAATCAGAAATTTTATAGGCCACAATTCAAAAACTTTATAAGTTACAATTTGTTCATCGGTATCAAATAAAAATTTATACGTCATAATTTATTTATCGAACACAAATCACAAATATTATAAGTCACAACTTATCACACAGTCACAAATTTTCGAAATTTTATATGTCACAAATTATCTTACGGTCATAATTCAAAAATTTTA